CTAAGCACGGCACTAAATTGTATTGAAAAATTTTAGGTAAAAAATTGCACAATAATAACTACAACAATTTATTCTGCCAAGTTATCCATGAAAAACATTGAAATAAAATTAAACTAATAGTAACATGGTTTCAATAAAATTTAGTATAGGAGTGGTGAATCCAGTGCCGTACTAAGATTTTGTTTAAAAATTCGTTAATATGAATTCTTAAAAACTTACTCTTAAAAACTGACATGGTAGGCCTTGTATTTTGTACAAATATGGCGTTTTTTGTTCCAAAAATACAGTTTATCAAGATCTACACTTTAAAACAAATCCAGATAACACAATAAATAAAGATTTAACAGGGGTGACAACAACTGTATGCAGTAAATATTAAACGACAAACGATTTAAAAATTTAATAAAGTACTATCGACACTCAATAACTCGTTTCTGCATGGTTTTTAAAATTAACACAAATTATTTTAAGCTCTTTTTTGGCGCTTTAACCGAGCCCCCAATGGCGCGGGCCCTGGTGCCACCGCCATTTTAGTTACGATTTTTATTAGGCACAAGCGAAACTTGCAAGCGAGTGTTTACAGATGTTTATAAAACAAGTTGCATACTATTCTTTATCTACGACGAACACAAAGAAGAATTTAAAGCCAATTTTATTTATAATAAAGCACTATTGCTAATTTCTAAACGCTATAAAATAACAGCTCGGCAATGAAGGAGTAGAAAAAAATACAACAAGTTTGTTTGGCTGATTTTAAAACTATAAATAGTGAAAATATTTTTTCTACTCCCACCTTTAAAACAGGTTTTTAGTCACGGACTGAAGCTAGTTTTAGTTAGTTGACAGTTGTCAAATGTCATACAATCGTTAAAATAAAGTGCCTTTCTTATAAAATATTAAATGTGAAATCTATTTTATTATCTCAATACAAAAATACAAAAGTATTAAATAGTTTCTCAACGCCAATATTTGAAAAGTTTATATGAACATTGTACTGACCTTTTCATTTCGCCGGCAGTAAACTATAACTTAAATTCTGGCACGAAATCCACTGTAAAGTGCTCATAAAACATTTTCTTTACTTTCACTGTGAAAAACTGTCAATTTTCAAGAAATACATTTCGATTTATAACCTTTATAAATTTGACATTTGACGGTGACACACAGATTCCCCTGATGTTTCATAGATGGCGCTCTATACAATTTTTTGATTTAAATAATTTTAAGATAACAATAAGAATTTGTCGTAGAAAAAGTATATATGCACCTCGTTTATAAACTTTTCTATACACTCATTAATTTAAGCACTTGCTCGCAAGCTCGCTCGTGCCTAAGTTAAATTCGTGTATAAAATGACGTTTATCAAACTTGAAACATAATATACTATTATCTACTCCCACCTTTATAACGCCCATTATCGTACATGTTTCCTTTTAAATACAGATTGACAAGTTTTGGCTTTATGGCGTTTTATTTATGGGCTGAGGTTAGTTTTAAGTAAGTTGACAGTTGTCAAATGTACTTTTTAAAATTATACTAAATGTAAATAATATTTTATGCACGATGACATTATAATATGACAATTATAACAAAAATTCTTTGACGTAAACGTCTTTTTATAGCCCGCGGGCGTTATTATGGCCCAGCGGGCTATAATGAAACGTCAAAAATTAAAAACAACAATGTTACACCATTTGATATATTCTAAGTAAGTTTTTTCGTATAAAGATTTTGATTTTTCCGGCAGCAGGCCGCAATTTTTCGCCTTTTCAGCAATTTCCTCAATTTCATTCATCTTTAAACTTTATAACTGACTGATGTCAGTTGACATTATAATATGACAATTATTACAAAAATTCTTTGACGTAAACGTCTTTAAAAAACAATAATATATTAAAAATAATAATATATTAATCGTGCATAAAGTTTTGTATGCATTGCTGGCATAACTGGTTTTTATGGTCCTACGACGCTTTTCTAGCCCTCGCGCTAACGCGCTCGGGCTCGAAATAGCGCCTCGGACCATAAAAACCTTATTATGCCCTTAATACATAAATAACTATTATTATCCCCATACAAAAATACAAAAGTATTAAATAGTTTCTCAACGCAAATATTCAAAAAATTAATATGAACATTGTACTGACCTTTTTATTTCGCCGGCAGTAAATTAGATTTAACTTAATTTCAGGTGGAGATTTCACCGTGTGACCATAAAACATTTTCCTTACTTTCAATGTAAAAAACTGCTTCTATATCGGGTTTTAACAAGCTCGCGCGTGCCTAAATTAAATTTGTAACCAAAAGAGCGTTTATTAAATTTGATATATAATATACTATTACTTTAAGCAAAAATAATTAAGGGAATTCGGATGGTGCGGTTTATTGGAACTTATTGGAAGTTATTTCTAATCATGTTTACTACAAGAAGGTTTCATCGATTCGTATGTCGGGGCGCACGCATTAACACTTGTATAATTTGTCCTGCAAATGAGGTTGTGGACTAATGAGTTAAAAGGAAACTATTAATTACACTAGTCAACATGAATTTGTCTCTGATAGAAGGGTATCAGTGGCGGCTCGTGCCTTCCGCGCTGGGGTAGGCGACGGCCAACAAAACAAACTCTGTTTAAAAAAACTACCACATAACCATCGATGATTCTCATACCATTGCTTTTTAAACGATCGAGAAATTCTAATACTAACAAATAATAATAAATAATGATACAGTAATACTTAGCGGATAATTAATTTCCTGACACAGTCACAAAAATAAAGTGAATTTGGCTTAAAACAATAACTAATATTGTTTAACTTAAAAACATCTAATTGACAGAACTAAAATGTAAAAGCCCTTTATCGTTCGAATTTATCTCAACAGATGTCACTATTTTAAATTAATTATTTATTATATTAATATATTCTTGCAAATGATGTTATTTACAGGACATTTAATATTAAATTCATATTATATTCTTAACCTCTTGCATTGAGATCGATCATTTTATCGATTACCGGCTTAAAAAAATAACTTACTGGCAAAAACAAGTCGGAAGCCAAATCGGCTTTCGGATTAGCCGAAGGCGAACAATCGTGTCGCCTACCCATCGCAATTTTACCATACGTCAACGGCGTTTCTATTGGTCAGCGGTATAGCGTTCTTAATTTGGTTGACGTGCAAGAATCAAATAAACAGGCGGTTAGGATAGTCGCCTTTGCTTGCTTTAGATGCTGATTTAGAGCATAGAAAAAGGTGTGAACTAGCTACTTTCGTCATGACGCATCACGTAAAAATTCAATAAAAGGTTTTATTTGCGATAAATAAGATGCAAAAAAAATAAGTTAATTAAATTTAGTGGAAAAATAGCAAAGAAGCAAAAGATATTAGAAAAAGGAGCAGAAGAAAGAAAATATTAAATAATAACTGACGACAATTTATTGTAAATATTAACAAATAAACAGATTAAGTATAATCTTTGAAGCTATACAGGGTGTTATGTATTAATGTTATATATTAAAATACTTTAAACTTTAAACATTTAATTTGTGTAAATAAATCCAAAAGCACTTCCCTTAGTTAAGATATTTACAATTTGTGCACATAACCTAAAATTTGAAAGAAATGCACTAAATTCTGTCATAAAAGTTGGCAGATTTTCTTTGAATTTATCTTCAGTACAAAAATGACATAACCAACAATTAATAAAAACGCAAAATTGACAATTTGCATTGTTAATTTTGTCATTTTTGTAATTAAGCTAAATTTAAACAATGTTTGGCAACTTTTTTGACAGAATTTGGAAACGCTGTTGTTATGAACCATAACATAATAAATTAAACTAGGCAACCAGATTAGCCTAAAGTTTCTAGTCAATCAGTGGCGTACTTTTTCGTAGGATAAAGGTTATTATAAATTATTTTTAGACTTTGGAATTTAGAAAAAAAAAGTTTCAGGTGCTTCTTTATGGACCCTAAGGAACAACCCATTTTAATATATAACATTAATTACAAAACACCCTGTATATTTAAACTGACCTGTGGTGTAAGTACGCACCAATGGGTTTATCGGCATTAATCTGATAAAAAATATATTTTATAAAAAGTTTATTTTTGTATCCAGGTTTTTTAATATTTCAGAAAATATTGAAATATTATTTTTAAATTTTAACAAAAATAATCTAAATATACAGATAGGTGAAACAACTCTTGAAAAAGAAAATTCATGATTTAAATTTTATTTTTTTAACTTAGTTTTAGTTTTAAAAAATTTAAAAATATATATAAAGAAAATTCATGATTTAAATTTTATTTTTTTAACTTAGTTTTAGTTTTAAAAAATTTAAAAATATATATATTTTTATCTAGGGTAAAGGGCCTTTTATAATGTTATAAACAAGAACCAAAGAAAAGTGGTTGAGAATCAGTATCTAGGCCCATATACCAAATTTATACAGAGTGCTAAAAAATGGTAAAACATTTCCAGGGCGTAAGTAGAGCTAAAAATGAGACGAAAACTCATTTGGCGTTTTTCAATCTAACTCACCCTTAAATAAACTGCGCACCACTCAATGTATCGCGACCAAAAAGTTCGTTCTTTTTCAAAACGACATAACTTTTTTGTTTTTTAAACGATTTTATTTTGGTCTGTGATGTCTGCTAGCCTCATCCTCTGGCAATTCATGCTATAGATATGAAGCTCACGGTTCTTCAAGTAAATTTTCTACAGAGTGATATGTTAAACGGTGAAAAATTTCAATAACTTCATCCAAACGGTTTGGACCAAACCCCGATTGTAAAAAAATATTTTTTTTTTTTTCGTTTTTACTTTGAAATAATGAAGTATTTTTTCTTAGCAAAGCCTAACCCAAAAACAAAAACACTGGAAATCCGATAGTTATGAAACTATCGGATTTCCATAAAGATGTTTTTTATAATTTGTATTAAATTTTTAATCATTCAAAAATTTTTATTTAAATCCGTCCCCTTTTTGGTCCCCCACCTCATTTCACGGAGCACGGTGTGCTTAGCACTGACTCAACCCATGAACTTCTGCACATCTCAGATTTTTTCAAATTCTGTATCTGCATGGCCTATAATTATTTTAACAAAAAAAATAAAATTTTCGGCGGAGCCGTTTTTGAGAAATTTACTTTTAATTTTTTTTCTGCAAAATGTAGAAAAATAAATACAAATATTTTAATAAACGCTTCAAAAAATTAATTTGAGGTGATCTTACATATTTAACAACTAAAAGTCTTCATAATATGAAAAAACTTGTAGTCACTAACTATGATAAACTTTTACCGCAAAAATGTCTAAAGATCATGCGTTAGCGCATAGATAGATTTAAAGTTGGTATGTTTTGTTTTAAAAAGAAAAAGCTGTTTCCAATTAAAGACAAATTAAAAGTTGTTGTTTTAAGCCTATTTGCGGATTATGATGTTGAAGAAGAAAGTTTGCCTGCAGCCTTATGTAGTTCCTGCAAGATTACAATATAACATAACATGGTTCTGGGAGAATGAAACTGAAGCTACCCATTTTGTCTGATGATGAGAAACAAAAGAGAGCAACACTATCCCAAGATGTTACAAAATGTAGTTGAAAACTGTGTCAAATCGCTCGAGCCGTACCGGCAAATATTGCTCAAGCAACATGTGATTTTATACCAGAACAACACAAAAAAGAAATAATTGTTTCTTCGTCAGTGAAAAAACGATGTAGTGTATGTTGTACTATTCTGCCCTGGTAAGCTAAACCCTCGTATTTACAACATTGAGTTATAAGGGACAAAAGTTCATTTTCATTGTTAAAAAAAAATAAAAATTATGTGTTGTCCTTTATTATTGAATATTGCGAATACTAGTGTTTGGCTTAGCACGGCTGTATTCTAGCAAGTTTCTCGAGTGCAGAATATGTCTGGATTAGGGTGATTCATTTCCTCAAAGTTATTTTTTTTTCGGTGCTCAAGCAAAATATTAATCTACCTATAGAAAAAAAATTTTTCACCAAGGTAGAGCTCTTAATATCAATTTTAAGTACTTGCAGTTTAAATTTAAAGTTTTCCTATTTAAAATGCATGTAAAAAAAATGTTTTTTTTTTTAATTTATAATGCTCGCCCGCTTTTTACAATATTGTGAATCGGTTTTATGGACCTTATAGGGAATTTCACGCTCTTCAAAATTGTCTTTGTGTTTTTTTGTGTAACTCGTAGTGGTTCGCCAGTAGGAGTAATCAAAGTTCAATTTTTTGAATGAAAATTTTTTTTGAATTTTTTTTTAACAATTCGCAAAAAATAGTAAAAAAAAAGAGCTGAATCGTAAAAAATAGTCTTTTAACAAATATTTGATGAATTTACGGCCATATTTATATCTTAAAACGTAAGTAATTGATAAATATTAACCAATTATGCTATTTAAATTAAACTTTCTTATTTACTATCGATATAATTCTCTACAACAATAACTTTTTCAGAGTTATTATGATTTCTGACTAAAAATAAATATAAACATAACACATAAATTTATAAAAAAACAACAAAACTTTAATCAAAACAAATAACAGATTACATTATTAGATAATATATTGCAAATTTAATAAAAATCTCAATAGTCATAAATAAACAAGTTGATAAATATTAAATTATTTCGACTTTTATACAAAGCAAATTAGGATTTTATTTTATGACGTAACTAACGTGCCCTTAACATGTATACAGGTACAATTTATTATTATATTATTGTTGTGCCGCCAATTTTAAATTAAGCGGCACGGCAGTGATGACGTTTTTTATCTATTACGTCACTAGCGTGCCCGTAAAAAATAAATTGCAGACACTCTAACGTGCACCTAGTCACTTCGTACTTTGTTCTCGGACTAATCACTAAATACAACAAACAATACATTTTGGGGTTAATTAACTAGAGCAATCATACAATTGTAACAGTTGCTTTCCCAATCAAATAATTATCATTATTTTTTTACTTATGTTCGAATATGCCATCAATATATTATTTAGTGCAATTATTCAAATAGCAATTTCTACTTATACAATATTGAAGCAAATGAAGTTGATAATAAAAACAATTTACTTTTTCGTTAATTTAAGAATTTTGTTAAAAAAATTGAATAACATTCATTTATATTTATTGCTATATTACGGAAATGTTGAAAAATTGCAGAATCCAAGTTGTAATTGTATATTTGTTGTTTTTTTATAAATTAATGTGTTTTTTTATATTTATTATAAGTCAAAAATCATAATAACTCTGGAAAAGTAATTGTTGTAGAGAATTATATCGATAGTAAATAAGAAAGTTTAATTTAAATAGCATAATTGGTTAATATTTATCAATTACTTACGTTTTAAGATATAAAAATGGCCGTAAATTCATCAAATATTTGTTAAAAGACTATTTTTTACGATTCAGCTCTTTTTTTTCACTATTTTTTGCGAATTGTTAAAAAAAATTGCAAAAAAAATGTTTATTCAAAAAATTGAACTTTGATGACTCCTATTGGCGAACCACTACGAGTTACACAAAAAAACACAAAGACAATTTTGAAGAGCGTGAAATTCCCTATAAGGTCCATAAAACCGATTCACAATATTGTAAAGAGCGGGCGAGCATTAGAAATTTGAAAAAAAAAAACATTTTTTTTACATGCATTTTAAATGAGAAAACTTTAAATTTAAACTGCAAGTACTTAAAATTGATATTAAGAGCTCTACCTTGGTAAAATTTTTTTTTTCTATAGGTAGATTAATATTTTGCTTGAGCGCCGAGAAAAAAAAAGTTTTTTTCGGAAATGAATCTCCCTAGTCTGGATACTTGTCAACCCTGGATGAAAAATCTCAAAGCCAGGTAATTTCAAGTGCCCTTAAACGTAAAGTAAGCGACGTCGCTTACCTGGTTTGAGATTTTTCATCCAGGGTTGACAAGTATTCAGAAATATTCTGCACTCAAGAAACTTTGTTGCAAACATGTTGTTTTCCTCTTGCTAGAATAGTACAACAGATACTAAACCATTTTTCTACCGACGAAGAAACAACCATTTCTTTTTTGTGTTCTGGTATAAAATCATGTGTGGCTTGAGCAATATTTGCCGGTGCGGCTCGAGCGATTTGACACAGTTTACATTTTGTAACATCTTGGGATCGAGTTGCTCTCTTTTGTTTCTCATCATCAGACAAAATGGGTAGCTTCAGTTCCATTCTCCCAGAACCATGTTATGCTTTATAAGGCTGCAGACAAACTTTTTTCCTCAACATCATAATCCGCAAATAGGCTTAAAAAACTTTTAATTTGTCTTTAATTGGAAACATAGCTTTTTCTTTTTAAAACATAACAAACCCACTTTAAATCTATTTACACAATGCGTTAACGCATGATCTTTGGACATTTTTGCGGTAAAAGTTTATCGTAGTTAGTTTCGAAGATCCCTGGCCTGTCCCAAATAGTTTTAGTTGCTTGTTCAATATGGTGACGTAAAACCTCAATGGAGTTGACTATTGTCACCCATAATATAACTAGTGGTATGATTATCATCGATGATATTTTCGAATTGAAACCGAGCTGCAGATTTCACGAGTCTGCAGGACGAGTGAAATGTGCTGCTTCGGTTTTAATGAGTAAATATCATCGATAATTAATCATACCACGACTTATATTTAGTGAGAAAATATAATGAATTTTAGGATTTAACGAATTTTTAGTTTGACATTTGAAATTAAAATGTGCTTTAAAATATAAAAAGACTTTAATAAACCTTATTTATTCAAACTTACCTTAATTTTATTATCGTTTACACCAACTCATCGATCTTTTAGAGTTTATAATTCATTATTTTCATTTATTTAACAAACACAGTATTTAAATGTCAACAAATGTAAAATCAAGAAAAGTGTCAAAATATTTAGCAACGTGTAAACAAGATGATAAAAAATATTGCCGCTGTGATAAAATGCGTAAACATCCCAAGCAACACAGAATGGTATATTAAACGTTTAAAACGATCTACTACCATCCGTCACTTCGTCGTATATGTGAAACGTATTATAAACTGCAAAATGTCCGCGACTTCAACGTATATATACAGATTTCTATATTCATTTCATTAACGTATATACATATATGATTTTTTTTATGAAATGGTAAACGTATATTAGCAGTTTACATTTACAGGTTTTACACGTATTCCAAATACGTTTATTAAATGTTATGTATTATATAAATTTATACGTATACCAAATACGTGTATTAAATGTTATTTTTCCTTATTCATTTATACGTATAATGAAAGGGTTATTTTTCTTTACAGGATGTTACGTAACCTTTTAGACAAAAAAAAGAAGGTAAATTCTCACCTAATTTTATTCGAAAAATACATTTTCGTCTTAAAATTAAGTGATAATTCACCCCCTTTTTTTCAGAGAGGTTAGGAAACACCCTGTATAAACTATAAAATGTATTAGTCCTTAAGTGACCTAAAATAATTAAAAAGTTTGTTCTTACTGCACCTTACTGAAATAATAACTCGTATACAAAAAAACAAAACATATATTCTTTAAATAAGGAAACAAAGTTATATCTTATAATAAAAATAACGTATCTACGCCGTAGATTCTACGAGTTTTATACTTTTTCTTTGTTATACAGATGCCGGTGTTTGCTTAATTTTAGCCAGTCCTTTATTGCTTGGGATATAACAGAATCATTTAAATCAGGAGGTTCTCTTCCTGAATAGGAAAGTTTAACAGCTTCTAAAAAATGGAAAAAGAATATATTTAATAGGTAAATAATTAGTAGGTATATATGTATGTAGTACTTGCCATTAATAACTCCAGCTATTCTTGTAATACTAAATGGACGTTTGTCTCTCCCACTCCAATTAAATTTCATGGCAACCTTGTTGGATATAGAAAATTTTAGTATATTCATCACCGTATTCCTTACAGAAGAGCCTCCAACAGCTGCTAGTCGTCTTCGCTAAAATAAAAAAAATGCTTTGTTTACAATAAAATGTAAGTAATTTTTATATCCACATACCATATAGAGAAGATTGACATCCTCAGTCAAAAAGTTTTCCAGCTCTTCAAATTCTTTTTTGTTATTAATTGGTAGTATTGGGACACTATGTGGGCGGGCCAGTTGTTGCACGGTGGCTGTTTGATTTAATCTTTCGAGTTGATCTAATCTTAATGTATTCTGATCTTGAACTTCTCGTATGTATACAACATGTCTTAAAATCTCTTCCAAAATATGACTAGTATTATCATTTGGCACAGCCGCATTTGGTTGATCATCATTTTCGTTTACTAGTACAATTTCAGCATTTCCAATATCAACTTCAGAGAAAGCTTGGTTTATGAAGGAAGCGTTTAAAATTTCCCGATTTTGGACTAATGGTGAATTTTGAGAATTGTTCATGAAGACAGCCGACTCTAGTATTGGAGTAAATGATGAAAAACGTTCTGGCTGTTGGACGGTGGTTGAGCAGCTAGTGTGTTTTAGTGGTGTCTGTTCATTTTCACTAGACCACGGGGAATTGCTATAAAATGTAAGAATAAATAATACCCAGGGCGAAGAATATGGGAATGGTATTTTTGATAAATAAAATTATAACAAAAAAGTGTATGTGGGACAGTAAACACATGTGTTACCGTGCACGGTAAATTATTTAGAAACATTTAATAAATTTAACATTCCCGGGATACACTATAGTAAAAACAATAATAAGCAAAGGTTTTCAAAAAAATAAAATATCCCTAGGAGACATGGTGACCAGTTAAAAGCTGTAAAAATCTAAGGATATAATGTGGGATTCCTAATTTTAAAACATTTAAAAATTTTAGTTAACAATTATTGCATTAAAAAAATAAACAATAGAGATATATTGCATTTTAACATTCCTAAGAGAGAAAAAAAATTAAATATATTATGAGGAACAGCAAAACAACCAGTAGTAATAGAATGGGATAGAGGTAAAAGTGGGATGGTAAGGGTAGACAAAAAAGGTTAATAAAACAGGAGCATTCACCCAACACTAAATAAGTCCAAATTTTTAGTTTTTGAGTACAAAGAAAAACAAACAAAATATAAATTTCTCAATATTGGTAAAATTCGACTTATCAAGTTTTGCGTAAATGCTCTTCATATTCGTAGATTTGTGCCTATTAGTTGTTAGAATATTTATGTAAAGTACTGCATACCTATGGAGTTCTTTGTTTTTTGACTTTGTCCTTTTTCGTTTCCTGTCTTTAATGGGTACATCGTTTTCACTTTCAGATGATTGTAAATGAAAACTTTTTCTTGTTAATACTGTAGCATTGCTTTGTCCAGTGTCATGAGAAGTGGTGGCAGCCTCATCTAAAATTCTTTGTAGGCTTTGTAGGCCTTTGTCATAATCATCTGTAATTTGAGGTTTAATTATAGAACTTTAATTTTTATTTCAGTATACCTACCTATTAGTGTATGGACCTTGATAACTTTGTATTTTACCCAGGAAGCTTTTGGGGCAGTTAAGTTGCGGACCACTTTCTCATCGACATTTTTTGGCCATAAACATTTCGTTTGGTTATCCCGTAGCCAACACAGTGGAATAATATCACACTGATATTTTTCAAATTCAACTATTGCAAACATTTCTGGTATCTTCTACGCAGGAAATAGAATCTTTACATATATAAAATAATTAACATTATGACCTCAATATTTTTGTGAAAAGAACATAACAAAAAGCAATATAATGTATTACATTACGAAACAAATATAACAAAAATAATAATATTCAACATTACGAGTACGTACTAATATAATATACATTTTTTATGTTCTGGTGTGTAGGATTGGTGTTAAAACGAAACCATTGTTATATGGTATGCGCAAATATTTACAATATATTTCATTAACGTTAAACATGACCAAATCTTTTTGCCCTCTTGCAAAGAAAATGCCAAGAGCTGATGAATGAATTGGATACGAAAAAAAATCATTCAAGTACTTAAAGGGACTCGCGATGCAATTATACTGATTATCGATATGAACGATTTTTTTAATTAAATAAACGACACCGTCCCTTTTTGCCACAGTACAGTTTTTTTTATCAGTGGAAAGTAGCATTCCGCGAAAAGTCACTTGCTTACATTCAAAATATCCATCTCTTTCATTGACAATACCTGATGCTACGAATTCGTTATTTTTTTTCGCCAGGTTTAATTTATTGGTAAATTTTTCGGATTCTTTGAGACGATTATGAATTTGTCCAAGTGGCATGTATTTGCCTTTTACCATCCTTTTTAATTTTCCTAGGTAATTCTCAAAGGGAAAACACGAATAAAAATCTAGAGGACCATATACTCTGACGTCGTCACAAATGTGCAATAAGGAATGAACATTGTAAGTGTTAAAAAACTTCGTATAAATATCTGGGGTCGTTCTGACGAATTCTTGCAAAAAAAACTTTGCTTCCTGCCAATGATTTTTTATAAGAGGCTCGCTACTTAATATAAAAACGGCACAATGCAGAAGCAAAAAATTTTTGTATACTTCCAAATTTACAGAATCCTTTAAAATGACTGTACCAACATATAGAAGGAAAAACCTATATTCTGTGGCCTTCCACCTTTTCATATAGGCAAATGATCTTAATTTACGGACAAAATCTGAGGTTACATAACCTCTTATGTCACTGTTAATTATTGTATTCATATGAATAATACTATTCCTTGAAAATTTGTAAGGTCGACGACCATCCAGCCAATAGGTTAATAGCCTTTTCATAACCCCTAAATGAACCAAATGCATAGGGTCCAACACAAACTGGGATACAAGATTTACACCAATAGTCAATAATGGCGATTTGCTTTTTATATACGTATCTGTATTTCTATCATTGAAATTAAGAAAATCGTCATCTGTCCGAGCTTCTGAAAGAATCGTTGAAGGATAAAACCTCCTCTTTTCTTCATATTGCGACTTAATTTTACACCGTTCGCAGCCTGAGATACTTGTGTGGCCCATAACCTGTTTTAAATAACTTCGAGCAGGAGCGTCACAGGAAAAAAAACATATTTTAATTTTATATTCTATTCCCAAATAGCACACCGAACGAATAACAAGCGACGAATACTCGTCAATAAAGCATTTTAAATATGCTTCCAGAGGATCCGGCTTTCCATTTCCAAAAAAAATTGCCACTGCAAATGGAGTCGTATCACAAAATACTTCACTACGCATCAATATTGGCCAGAATTCACCAGCTCCACTTTTAAACAATGGTATACCATCAATATTTACTTGCAAGGGTATAAAATTATCCCTTATAGTGCCTGAAGTTGATTCAATTTTTTTTATGATATTTTTTTCTATGCCTAGATAAATCATTTCTCCATTATTTAAAGTGATCCTATTAACTTCCCGGGGGGTTTTAAGAATGGTTCGAGAGTCATTGGGTAAGAATGGATACTCCGGTTGAATTATTTCAATTAGTTCATTTAAACATTTTTGCGTTAAATTGTTGGTACAAGCCCAATATTGAATTTTTTTTAAAAACTCCTCATTGGTGGAATCAGTACTCTTGACTGTTGAAACAACATTATGTGATAAATTCACAATAGGGGAATTTTCAAAAAAATCGCCTACATCAATTATTTCATCATTATTTGCGGGTTTTATATTAGATATTTTATTTACTGTTGTGTTTATTGAGGAAAGCAGGGGTTTCTCCAAATGAAATGTTGTAATTACTGAATTATTAAATCTTTGTAAATTAGATAATAAATTATGATTATCAGCACTATTTAAATTAATTTTTGAATTTGCCACAGCACATGCTGCCCTACGCCGCAATTGCCTCTTACTCACGACTTTAGTAGTAGTAAGTTTAGTAACCTTATTATTTACTGGAAACATTATTCACAGTGCTAATTATAATACATATATAAAGAAACCTGCCTGCAATGTGATGCTGAAAAGTAATAGTTTCTTATGTACCAAGTCAGTAAAGTCTTTATCGAACGAGTCTGAGATTATAGAGATTCAAAATTTCATTAAAAATTGAGTGCAGGAAAAAAACTTTTTCAAGAAAAAAATTGAAAAAAAAAACAAAATTTAAGAAAATTTTTTTTAATTGAGAAAACTTTTTAAAAGTGCCAGACCATTAAACTTTTGTATTTTTTTATATTGTCCAAACCTATAGGTTTAATTTATATTTTTGTTTTTAAAATAAAAAAGTTATAAGTTTTTTTTTTATTATCATAATTATGAATAATTCATGTTTATTATGATAAATTAATTAAGAAATACCTACCACCTAGAAAGATAGGTACCTATATGAATTAACAAAAAAAAGAACAGAAGAAAATTTTAGAAATAACTCCAGAATATTAAAAATAAAAAATTGAAAAAGGGAAAAATTAAAAAATTTGAAAATATTTTTATTGCGACAATTTTTATAAGTATATGTATACTAGGGTGTTCCTTATTTTGGGTCTTTTAATTTTTTTTGGTCTCACCCCCTAAAAAGTTTACTTTTGGTATAAAACTAACATGGTAAAAATTTTAGCCCGCTAAAAATTTTTTTTCCCGTGCCGACGAGGGCCTTAAGTTTGATAAAAAACGTATTTTAAAATAAAGACACTAAAATCTTTTTTTTATTCCTGTTTAATTTATTTTGTACAAATAACTGTTATATATTATTATAATATGGTAAGAATTATTTTAACCCTTATAACAAATACCAACTCCCCTTAGAGGAGTCTTAAAATAAAGTAAAATTATAATTAATAAATTATAATAATAATAATAATTATTAATATGTTTGTTTTAATGTATCTTTTTTGCAATTGGGATACACTCTTCTGTGCTCTTGCACACATTGCAAAATATATTGTTTTTGTTTCTCGTCCTTTGTCAGGTTGCCATGAAAATCCTCCATTAATTTTACGGACCTTTCAGCAGTGTCGTTGACGACTTTTAACGCATTTATAATTTCGCGCCCATTTAAATACGACACTTGCGATTCCCATGTTGAGGGATCATGATTTAGAAATTCTGGGTCGATATTGAATCTAGAAAATAGATTTTTGCTTTTTTCAGAAAGAAAGTTGTCAATTGTTCTGGCTGAAAACAAACTTGTATTAATTTTTACGGAGCTAATAATTATAGTAAAATTATACCTATAAAGTTATCATCGATTTCTTTTAGTTTAATTAACAGTCGTTTAGTTGGAATAGAAGTTCCCTCATTTTCTAGAGCTTTTACCATAAGTTTTTTTGTTTCGATTGATAAATCATTATCAAAAAATGCTAAGGCGGCCGTCTCTTCCGTTAAATACCATAAGTGGCCACACATTTTTTTAAGGGCTGCTTCGGAAATTATTGGATCTTTGTCTTCATAAATTTTAAAATTCCCTATGAAATTAAGATCTTGATATGGAGCTTTACTTGCCATTGGACAATCAAACCACGCTTTTACGTAAAATCGAATTATAAAAACGCAGATATCTCCAAGAGCAGTTTCTTCCATACTAGAAATTTGATACTCATTACGAAACATAAAAATTTTTAAACAATAAATGGCCCGAGCCATCCACCTAGCTTGATGCATGGCTCCAGGAGGACGAATTTTTAATTTATTTTGTTCATCGCCATTAAGAAAAAGGAGGACTAGTTCAAGCAGCTCTCGATAATCATGTCGGAATTGCGTTTCTTTTAGTTTGCTCAGTGAAAAGTTAAGAACTTCCGTTCTTACATCCTCCAGCACAACATTCGGGATTTTCCATTCCGTTTTTAAATGATCTATGATCTAGACTGCACCAGTTTTTCTTAAAATTTTTAAACAACGGAATGTCTGGACTTAAAGTTACATGGGGTATTTTAGCGTCAAAAACGCCTCTCAAAACCAATTCATAAATGTGGTGAGGACAAAGAAGGTAAAGAAGATCTTTTCCCAGCTTCTGCTCTAACAAAACACACGCTCCAGAAATTCTCATAGTGTTTGAGGCTGTAGTATCACAACACAATGCCTGAACTGTATCCGATAATCCCCATTCCTGTAATGTTGTTCTACATTTTTACTAGTCACGACAATCGGTAGTCGCTCAACAGATGATTCATTAATACTTAATCATCCAAGTTATGTCCTAAAGCTTCTGCTGTCGCTTGTAATATATAAACTGCATCTCGAACACTTAATTGGCACCGATCTAAGGCTACGACCAATTTTGGTGAAATAAAACTTGTACGCCGTCTTTTTTTACTAACCTTAGTTGGCTGAATTGGCTCAGGTGATTCCATTGGTGTAGTTGGCTCATTTGGCTTAATTTCACAGTCATGTTTTCGATGTGCTTCGTCTTCGTCCGAATCCGAATCTTCGATTGTCGGAAATTCCGTCGAAGTAGATGGTCCCATTAAAAATTGTTCATACTTCCTTTTTCTTTCACTTTCTTCTTGTTTTCGTTTTTTGGATCTGTTTTCTTTCTTTTCAAAATTTTTATCAATCCCTCCAAGACAACCTACTCGACCAGGTTGTCTTTGTGCTATCAAAAATTGCTTATCTTCTTCTATTTTTATTATTTGTAAGGCTTCCGAGTGTGCAATGTCAAACAAGTTTTCTAAATTATTTACAAACTTATTTTCCTTTTCTCGATAAATGTCTCCAGTTTTATTTGAATTTTTTTGTAAATTTCGCCATTCTTCGCAATTTATGGATGCAGTGTTGAATAGCTCTTGTGGGTATCCTTGCTTTTTCCCAAAATATTGCTGTTTCACGAACTGCTAAACTCGCACTTTCCCGCGCATTTAATTTTACATTTCTCATATTGTAAAAAAACACCGAAAGGACTTGTTTATTTGAAGGTAGTTTTGAACCACGTATCTGGCTGTCCGCAGTTCCAACCAAATAAACTCTTTCTTCACTTCTAAGCGCCCAAGCCATTTTTAACGCGAACTAATTATTATAAATTATATTTAAAACACAAAAAACAACAAAATAATCAACTAGACTGCAAGACAGCAACTTGTCCTTTGCGCATATGCGCAGCGCATCAGTTTATTTAACTGTCTGTTCTTGTCAGCGTTGCCAGACGTACCATTTTAATGCTATTTATACCATTATTTCCCCTTGTGTACCTGTACAATTTTTATACCATTAATTATAAATCTCTATTTCATTGGAAACTGAGATTTTGTTAAAATGCTATGTATTATGGGCTGCCTACGCCATGGCATAGCGATATTAAATAGAGTTTGGTGTGCAGTTGTAACAGAAAATTTATTTTAAACTCTGTAAATTACCGACTGTAATCAAGTGAACTAGGTAATACACTGTTTAGAATGGGATCGTATTTAACTCTCCTGAAGGACCTTGTGACATGGCTAAGTATCAATCAAAGGCGTTAAAAATGCTCTTTTTATATTTGTTTAACAAAAAACAAACCCTTTTGGGCTGCTAATCAAAAATAATATACCTAATTTAAAAAAAATCCATTTATATCATTTTATTTTAAAAATACGTATTTTTTTTAAATTTTAAGCCCCTGTCGGCACGGGTTAATATTAATTTAGGGAGCTCAAAATTTTTAAGTGTTATACTTACACCAAATATAAACTATTTAGGGGGTGAGACCAAAAAAATTTGTATTTTTTGTTTATTACTTATAAATAAGGAACACCCTAATGTATACATATTATAATATTTTTAAAGAATACTTTCTTTTGTATACAAAAGAAAGTATACTTTATACATATTACCTATATAGTATATGTGTATACTTTTTTTTTGTTAAAACTTTAAAATTAATAAGACAATTAATTATTTAAAAGTTTATTACAAAGACGTTTAAAAAAGTAAATTTTCAATTTCGATGTGACATATTACGAACAAATATTAGTTTACATTGTAAACTAATATTTGTTTGTAATTTAATTTTGATATGGGGTAAATATTTAAAACATAAATTATATTAGGATTCTACATTTTAGAACAATAAAAATTATACGGTAAAAAAATAATAATTAATTATCATTTTTTATTTACTACCTATATGATATTTTTATTGTTTTAAAATTTAAATATTATTATTATTATTATATCATATTTTTATTGTTTTAAAATTTAAATATTATAATTATTTTTAATATTCTTAAACTTAATATTTTTTAATTTTAAAAATAAATAAATAAAAAAGATAAAAGTTTAATGGTCTGGCCCTTTAAAAACATTATCTTAATTTAAAAAAAATAAAAAAACAGTTTTTCTATTTTCCGGCACCCAAATTTTTCGGAAATTTTGAATCTCTAGTATAGAAAACTAAAATTTCCTGCATAAGATCAACCTTTTTAACAGGCAGTATGTAAACGGTATACAATATACGTATACGAAACCTTTACTTGATACTAAAAAATCTTTTAATTTATTTGACTTGCCAAATTTTAACATATAACGATAAAAGTACCTACATGAATGCATTCATGTGAAGTTAAACAAAAGCTTCTAAAAGATAAATTAAAAACTTACCCTCAACTCCTTTTCCAAAAGATAAGAACTAACCCTCAAAATTGTTATCCACGTGTAGTATGTAGTATGCCTTCTTTTTTCTTCTGTAATCGAATAAAACCATGTATAAAAACAACAATTGAATACAGCAAATCTTTTTTAAATTATTTAGGCACACTTACCTAGGTAATTATAATTACTTATCAATGCCCGGCGTTTTAACTTCACAATTGTGCCTGTTAACAGGCTTTTCTTACAAGATGACGCCACGGGCGGAACCTGCAGCTGTTTGGGTTAAGACGCGATGTCATTGGGTAAATTTAATCATGTGACAAAATTTTGCAGTGTTCAATATAGGTTTTGTACACGTATACTGTATACCGTTTATATACCAGATTGTGTAGTGTGGAAAATAGGTATACTGTATACCATTTAAGTACAAAATTTAAACGCGTGTTATATACGTTTTTAAAATTTAGTTTTTTTTTAATAATTTCTTAATTACAGCTCAAATTTATCCGATTTTCACAAAAAAAGTTTTGTAAGGGCCTATCATACTTTTCGAGTCCCACCATTAAAAAAATAGGCTTTTATTTGACTTCATGTCAAAAATGTATTATTATATACATATAATATATGTTTCTAATATACGTTAAAAAAAGTAATATATTGTTTGCTATAATATACGTATATGTTACGATAAATTTATCAGTTAACTGAAGATAAAGTCCTATAATATCCGTATATTATACGTTTCATATAAAAAAGTAATATGAAAAACGTATATTATTTATACCTTTGAAATGTTATACGGTTTTTATACGAACAATACGTTTAATAAACGTATATACTACCGAGCCGTGTTGCTTGGGATGGAATACTGGCATTTTATTGGTTCTAATTATAATGAATTGTATTGTCGCGTAAACTAAACTTTTCATGTACTTGATAGTTATGAACTATCGTAGTGCACTAGTGTGAATTGACCTTTATTGTAAAGCTGTTACTGTCAGGGTCAGTGTTTTGGTTTTAGATACAATAAATAAACCCACTAAATCCACCTTAACATTTTATTGAGGAAATGCGAAAGTTTGCTGCTGGTCATGAAATAAGGTTATTAGAATTTTGTACATAAGGCAGTATCATAATAAACAAGAAAGTTTAAGTGGAAAAAAATTCACTTTAACGTTTTTTTAGAAAACTTAAGATGCTTGTCGGATTTAGCTTAGTTTTAAAAAATTGCTTTGGGTTTAGTGGATTTTGGTTTAAAATTTACATGCTCTTTAAAAAATTAAAACGATAAAAAATCATATTTAGGTTTTATTGAAAAAAATTATTTTTGTATAAAAAACACAATAAACAATGTATTCCTGTCATCGTCACTATTTTTATTTTTAATTTTATTGTTTATTGACTGCAAATCTTGGTACAATGCTTTTATTATATACAACAGATTTTCTTGTTCAGCTTTTTTTTGCCAGGCATCTCTGAATATTACTTATATATGGATTATGTGTAGGTATTAAATAATATCATATAAATGTAATTTTAATAAACTAAATTAAGCTATTTAATAAAAAGATGTTTTATTACATTTAAAAAAGAACCTCTTACGGGTTTTTAATTAATTTTGACAATATTTGATAAAAATTTGAAAAGAATTTTAGAATTCTGATTCCAGATTCATTATCAGCGACCACAAAAACTCTTGTATGGTGATTTTTAATTAATTCCGTAATTTTTTTTTCAAATATGTCCGCCATTTTGGATCTACCATTTTGATTCGTTATCAGCGACCCCAAAAACCTCTATATACGGATTTTTAGGAGAATCCGACTACTCCCTGATATTTTGCCGAAAATTTCGAGAATTGAAACAATGTGGGGCGGCACGATTAAAATTTCGACATTGGTCAAATAAGAACCACCCTAATAAAGATAATAAAATAATTTTTTTTCAAGCGGCCATGATATACAACGTTATATGCATGTATAGAGATAGTTGAAGTACGTCTTTTTCATTAGCGGCAGACAAAAAACTCAAAAAAGCCTAGGGATAGAAGTAAATCCATAGGTGACTCAATAGACGTCAAATAATAAAATTAATTTAGCATTTCATACAAAGCAATCACGATGTATTAATTATATTAATTATAATCGCATGGAATATTTAGTGATTATTTATTAAATTTTAATTGAACGAAATAAAGAACAACTAGTTTATTAGTATAATATACTGATGATAGACGAGTCGCCAATGTCGGAACTCCAAACAAATGTCAGTACGTCAAAATTAATTCAAGCGCAGCATTTTGACAGAGCAGTGTTTATTTGTAGTTTAGGCTTTGTTATCTATGGTTTAGGATATTTATCGGCATTGTAAGTAAGGGTTTTTTACTTTTTATCAATAATTTGTAATGCTTTTAGCCAAAATTTTATACCACATAAGTTATAAGTAAATAAAATAATTCTATTGCTTATCCTATTTATATTACGCCCTTGAAAAAAAATTGTATATGTTATTTGGAGTAGAAGCTCTTTTTGTGCTTCGTACAGTTGCCTGCCTCAGCTACGCTTCGGCCGTCAATCTCTGTACTCACCACAAAAAGAGCCACTTCTACTCCTTATGACATAATCTACTATTTTACAAGGACAATTTATTTCAACGATTGTATGACATTTGACAACTGTCAACTAACTTAAAACTTAAAACTTCGGCAATGGAAACATGTACGTCGTACATTGTACGAAAATATGCGTTTTAAAGGTGGGAGTACAGAAAATGCGTTATTTTAAAGCATAAAATTACATTATGTTGGGGTGTAACTACGTCATTATATATCTTTATATTTTTAGACTATTACCTTATGTGTTATTTTACGTCAGATCAAACAGTGCAGTTCACCAGACCAACTCAGATTTTCCTTAAATTTTGTGTTAATGATTTATTGTGTAGGGTAACCTCAATATTAAATTTGAAAGTTTTAAAATTAATAAAAAATTTAAATTTTAAAATTAAAATTAAATTTAAAATTAAAAATGATTTATTGTGTAGGATAACCACAATATTAAATTTGAAAGTTTTAAAATTATTAATAACCAAAAGAGAGAAAGAGAGAAATAAATTATTGTAATTTTTTAACTCCTTACCTAGGTACAATATTTATTATAAGAATATTTGTTTCTGGGGGTTACTTTTTAGGCTGATTTTAATAATTTAATTATTATTTATTTATCTTTCTTTGTTTTTGCCTAAGAATTGCATTTAATTAACAAATTTAAAAAAAATATTTTAGATGTTTGATCTGGGTGCGTGCGGAAAGTATCAAATTTCCGCGCGTTTGTAGAAAACAGTAATTTTTAACATCCTAGTTTTTTTTATGTACTGTTTATACATTTTTAAGAATAATAAATATATTTTTATAAATTTTAAACTATTAA